CTCTCAGTAATTAGACAAATTCATCCACAATTTAAGCTGGGAAACTGTCGATATTTTAGAACAAAGCCAAAAATGCTGGGGAATTCTTGGAATTGGCCATCAATAGACATATGAGCCTTATCTATATACAATTTAAAAGATGCAGCCCAAAGTCAAAGAATTAAACAGCCCAGAATATACCCTCCCTAGCACCAAACTGAAATAAGCAGGAAACAGCACCAGATAAACTATCAAGGAAGAAACAATACCGTAATCAAGAAATCATCAAGGAAGAATCCACATTCTAGCCAAGACTGGCATGGCAAGCTACTATATATAAATAACCAGCAAATTGCACACTCCAATACATTTACATTTACATTTCGGTTTTATCTCCGCCCATCTCTCCCAATGGGGAACTCTGGGCGGCTCACAAAGTACACCTTAACCATAACAATTACAATTACACCTATTCTAATACAACTACAGTGCAACCCTATTCTGTTGTGGCCAGCAGCGGTCGCAAGGGAGTCAGCTCATCTGGGCTTTCTTCCACCGATGATCTTTCGCCCGTCGCATTAGTCGCGTCCAGCAACTAATACACTAATAATATTACCTAGCCTGGCAATGAAATGTCTGTAGCAAAGCAACTGACCTCAGACAACACTACAAATTCAAAAGCTAAAATAATATTAATCTTTTGGAACTCCAGGCAACTTTTTGGCGGTAAAAAATTTCCAGACCATGTTTAAGAGGATGCACATTCTAATGAAATTTCTGCCAGAAAGTACCTGAACAAATAGAAGTTCTTTAGGTCTCTCAACATAAAGGCAAGCAAGTTATTTCTGAAAGCAAACGCAGTTACTCTCAGTAAAGATGTAATATCTAGCAGGAGTCTAATGTTGCAGCCAAATGGTTATCAGAGCTTCTATCAAGGAATCAGAATGGTGTCTCAATTCATTGGTTTTCCATTTGATAATACTTCAGTTTGGCCATTAGGTTGTAGGCTTTTTAACAATCTGGAACAATGTCCAGATTAGGCTTCTCAAGAATTCCACATTGAGAGACAAATGGAATAGAGGCTATAGTGGCACAATGGCTACTTTTCTTATTCTCCAACCTGTCATAAAACAGATCAGAACTATGGGGTGCAGGTGATTTTGATAGCTCAATATTTCCCTTGGCAAAGCTGGCTTCTCTCCCTGCTGGATTTAGTGGAGCCACATTATTGCAGAATTCTTTTGCAAGGTCTCATCATGCATCTTCAGCCAAATCTCAAGAAGAAATCAGTGTTATTTGGGAGTTTCCAGCATGGTTTAAACAAGATGTTAGTACCAATATTAAGTGCCAGGCTGCAGCTCTCAGTAGTGTGTTGTCCTACTGGGGGGGTGGAGGGGGCGTAATCCTTCTCTTTTTGCTTCTGCCTTAAAAGGTTATGAAAAAAAATGGGTTTGACTAACTCTCATGGTGCGGGGGACGCGGTGGCGCAGCGGCTTAATGACGCTGAAAGTTGCCGGCCAGAAATGGTCGACACTTCAGCGGTTCGAGTCCAG